ATGTATGCAGTTGGATAGCAACATTGAAGCACGTGATCCCCTTTTCTGTTCAGGGCTCAAGCCATGTGGTCCTGTCCAACAATGAACCATCTTTCCAAGCAGCCTCCGTGTCTCCAGTGTCTTTTTCCCCACTTGGAGCTGAACCCAGAAGGACATTTCTTTCATCACCAGAAAATTGGATTGCCGGTTTTCTAGCCCCTTATTTGTGATGTGCAGAGTGATTTTAGCATCTCTACAGTAAATACTAAGCACTTTACATTCAAGTTTTTTTTACTGTGCTTAAATGGCATATATACTCTTTGGGTAATAAAGGTGGAATATAAATCAAATAAATAATGGACATGAAGGTTGGCTTTAAAAACACCAGTTTCCTTATATGTACAGAAATGAGAAAAGCCTCCTTAATTTTGCAGGTACGTTTGCTGCCTTGAGTTAAGTGTTACCCGCAATGTGAAAAGCTGGCATTGTATCCCTAGGAAATCTATAGAATGCATGACTTTTTAGACAAAGTATGAAATGTTATTTTAATATTCTAAATACCAATTGTTCCTAATCTTTTCTTCACCATTGACCCCATTTAAATACCTTTTGAGGCCATGGAACATGTCCACGGACTCCAAGACTTAACTCAAGATTTAAATCATGACATTTCTTCAGACCCTCACGGACCCCATGATGACGTTGCTCCCCCCTGGAGAACCACTGCTATATACTTTCTGTAAACTAACCCTAAGCCTTTATTGAAAAGACTTACATGAAAATAAAAAAATACAAAATAAAGTACAGCACTTTCTTACTAAAAAAAAAGAGAAAGACTAAAACTCATTCCAACAAGGATACAGCCTTTTGTCAAAAATGTGTGAAATGTTTCATATTTTGATATCCTATTTTTATCATTTTATAGATTTCCTAGACTTGTGATGATAAACCAGTGGCACAGGTGGCACTCGTACGCCTCTCTGCTGGCACGTGAGCCGTTGCCCCAGCCCAGCTCCACTGCGCATGCATATGCACCTCCCACCGGCCAGCTGATTTTCAGGTCTCTGTCGTGCATGCATGTGTGTTTGGCACATCCATGTGTGGGGCGTTTTTGGTCCCAGGCGGCTTTAGGGAGGCCTGCTGGGCCCAAAGCGGCCATGGTGGGTGTGGGGCGCCCTCCTTCCGCCCTGTTTTTGGTCCCAGGAGGCTCCAGAGAGACATGCTAGGCCCAAAATGGGCACAGGGTGGTGATGGTGGTTATATGCGCATGTGCAAGGGGAGCACCTGTGTATGCACACAGGTAGGGTGCACAGGTTGGGGTCGTGCACGCTTTGCATTATGGATGTGAGCACGTGCGTGCACGCTGGTGTGCATGCACCCACTTTCGGCACACGAGGGGAAAAAGGATGGCCATCACTGTCCTAGACATTCTATAAAATGCCTACTTTCACACATTGACAGCAACACATAAAAATGTAGGATAAAAAAAATCTAATAAAAAGAAATAGCATACACCATTCTTAATTCCATAGAACACCTTTTCATATAACAATGTAGTGTTGTGAATAATAAAATTAGATCCCATCCTCCAAGGAAAGTATCATATAAAGTAGCATATTTTTATGGTCACAATCTGTATCCTGTTCGTTTAAATACTAGTATCTAAACAAAATTTAGATTCATGTTTAATAAGAAACATAAATCTAGATAGGCAATATAAATAAAGTGACACAACTACAGTAGTACTTTGTAGATTTTTATTTTTTTTAAGAATCCTTTTAGGCTCTGATCACCAAAAACCTCAAGATTAATTTGCAAGATGGGATTTTTAAAGCCCAAAGAATATTCTATTTCAAAGTATAAAAATGGACATGAATAGTTTAAATATCTATATTTGTTTTGCCATGGTTTACTTGTATCCCCACTTACGTAAGCAGCAGACAAACATTGCATGCACACTCCATTTGCACGAGTGGAAGGCATGCTTGCTGGCTGCTCACACAAATGGAGCAGGGCGTGCATATTTGCCTGCCAATCACATGGAACCATCCTCACACGACCACCACTCCTGTATGCAAAGGTTGGGGAATTGGGCTAGAGCACTGAATATACACACACACACACAATTTGTTTTCAAATAAAACTAGCCAAGTCTAATCTAATTGTAGATTATAGCGAGATAAGCACTAGGCCCTACTATACATACATTTAGTGCATTTTTTAAAAACATATACAAATTTTTTTATGCTGATCTTTCCCAATCAGACTCCTTCCAACATTTGTTTTTAATCGATTTTATATTCCCATAAATCATTGAGATTTTTAACATATAAAGCATATACATGTTTTTAATAAAGTTGGGCTTGCTGGTAAGCGGAAGTTTCCATTGTGGTGATTAAATTTAATATTTTATGACTCCCTGCTGCTAAGAGCAGCAGAAAAACCTACAGAATTAAACTTAGGGTTTTTATTTATAATCTTGCTGTAAGAACAGTGGATAAGTATATATATCCACATACATGCCCACATACAAAATCTAGTTTTGCTGAAATCAGGATTCATAGTGTCAAAATGATGAAAATGGTATTTTGATGAGATGATTTGACATTTTATATGCAGATTTATAATCTCAACGCATACAAAAGAAAATCAGTTAACATGATGTAAACACAACATTCTTCTAGTGATTTGCCTTCAACCTGGCCAACAATGGAGATACTGCAATTCAGATACATGAAAAAGAAATACAGAAAAACACTACAGCTGAGAGGTGTCCATTTCAATTCTTATTTAAAGAAAAAGGCATATTAGAACTTTATTATAAACAAAGCAGGTCTTTCTATATATTTCAACTCCTTTGAAGTTTTATTCTTTGAAGTCACTCCAATTCCCAATAAAGGCATTGTCTGAACTGTACATATTTCTTCAAGTGAGTAGATTCTTTCAAAGATATTCTTTATATATTTTATTTATTGGCGATGTCTTTATATGCTCTTTAGTCAGGCCCCACAAAGTTCTTTGGGGATTAAAGGCCAACATTAAGTTAGAATAGGTTGTTAGAATAATGTTTAACTTAGCAAGTCCACATTTTGTTGCAGCGGTATGTAAAATAAACCACATCAGTCTGCTGTTTAGCTGGGATAGCAGTGTAACCCCCACCCAAGGAAAGCTCATTTTCTTTTCCTTTTGCCGTTGAAGCTTCCAGATCCTCCCTGGTTCCCTCTGCGACCTGCTCCTGTGCTTTTCTTGCCCTTGGCGTTTCCGGTCCTCTGCTGCTGCCGTCGACCCCTCTTGCCCCGTTGGTCGCGCCTTTTCCCTTTGCCTCTGGCAGCTTCGGCCTCCTCTTCGCGGAGTTGCTTGTTGACCGCCCGGGTCAGGTCCAGGGGCGGCTTCTTGCTACTCAGGCTGCGGGCTAACTCCAGGTGTCGCTTCTTCTCCCCTTCAAGGTCTCCCAGCAGCGGCTGGAAGCGACGCTTCTTCCCGCGGGCTGTGTTGGTCTGCGCCACGGCGGACTCCTTGGGGAGGCGAGGCTGGAAGCGGCCGCGGGAGGCGGTGGAGACGCGAGCAAGGGTGGAGACGCGGCCCATCTCGGCCCGGTCTTGGTGGCCCGTTGGGTGCAGGTCGGCCGCCACCCGACCCCGGTGAGCGCGCGCCAGGTTCCGCAGGCGGTTGAGCTCGTTGCGCGCCACCCGCTCCCGCTTCTCCTGGCGCCGTTTGGCGAACTGGTCCTCCAACGGGTCGGCCGAATCCGGCACCTCCAAGAGCCAGTCGCCGGAGGGATCCCCGCTGGCTCGGCGGTAACCCCAGCGCCTCCTCCACTCTTTGGCGGCTTCGTCCCAGACCAACGTGCCGCGCTTCTTGCGCGTGGGGCGGATGCCTTTGAGGCGCGCGAACTGCTCCCATTTGGTGAGCGGCCGAGGTTTGGGCAGCGGCTTTTCCCTGGGCAAGCGCGTGGAGGGTTCGGGCAGGCGGGCCACCACGGGCCCCGCGCCCGCTTCCGCCCGCTCCGACGGCAGCGCCCACAGCTGACCCACCAGCAACTGAGTGTTATCCCGGGCCAAAGCGCGCAGGAGAGGCTCGCGCTGCGAGGAGGCTCGCGTCAAGGCGCGCGGGGCCGGGTTTTTATCCACCGCTAGTAAGTTACCCGCGTCGAACTCCAACTCCAGCTCCTTATGCACCGCCACGCTGCGCTGGGTCTCCGCCTTGCGCTCCTCGGCGCGCGCCAGCAAGTCCTCGACCAGGAGGGTAGCCATAGTCACCAGCGCCTCGCACGTGGCTGCCGATAAAGGCACTCTCCTTTTCCCACGCCGGCTCTTAGATCAAAGTCAGGGAGACCACTTCCGGGGCGAAGCCACATTCAGTTCCGGTTGTGCCTTCTGCGGCGTCCCGACTAAAATTAGTCTCATGGAGTATGTGTGCGTGGAATCCTGGGGGATGTAGTCCTCCATTGATAAGGAAGTTTGCTAAAAGAATGGCTTCTCATTCTTTCATTGGTTCTCGTAGTTCCAAATATAACGAAGGGTTTACTGTATCCTAGTCGCCCTCGTAATTTTTTTAAACAGACTTTCCCTTACTGAATAACAGAGTTGAAAGAGATCTTGTAGTCCAACCCCCTGCCCAAGCAGGAGAGCCTACGATAAAGCAGCCGTAAAGTGAGATTTGGACATTAAGTGTGAAACCTACTGGGTCAGGCTGGACAGCCTCTTAGAGACCCTATAGTTCT